GTCTGGGCCATAAACTTGGTTGGCAATGACGGCAACCCACGCCACCGCTGCCGACTAAGTTAGGTAAGCCCGGACGGTGGCTCGTGGCGGCGGGAGAGAGTTTGGGGGGGGGGAGGGCAAAATCTCGGGGAGGTGGTGCGGAAGTGCACGAGAATCCCACGCGATATGTACGTTCTACGCTTAACGGCAGCGAAAGTGCCGCCGACATATTGACCGTTCCTGATTCGCTGAGAGAGACATCAATAATGCCTCGCGTTACGAGATGGGGACATTAATAAGTGAGAAATAAGGATACAATAAACACAATACCCATTGACAAATACCGTGCAATTAAACGAGGATAAAGGAACGTACGTTTTAGATTTCAGCATTGTATCACGCGTTGAAGCGCCTGTATGCGACGCTTAAGAGCGCAATAAACGTCGCTATTAATTCGTTGGAAACTAGGCACTTCTAGATGCAAGTAACATCTTGTTCGGAGTATTCCGTGTTAAAGGGTGATCACATAAAAACCGGCCGCTCATGCAAACTCGAATTACTACGCATCGCGTGCCTATCGGGATCGCGCCATCGTCGAGCTCGTTACGGGACGCGCAAAATCCTTTTTGCGCCCCGTCGTCCGTTGCGTTTGACCCGTTTCGAGAGATTCCACAATAGGATGAGTGGCGAGCACACGGGGTATGCGGGATCGAGATATCGCGCGTGTCTACGGTGGCCCACACACAAGCGGCTCTACGGCAAAGCACCGACGCGCAGCGCTGTGGAATCGGCGAATCCCACTCGATCAGAAGCCGAATGGAAATTAAATGCTCAGTCGACCGTTATGCTGATTGATTTGTATTCTGCGATCTGCTGGCATGGCGAGGAAGTGTGCTAAACTGCGGGATTTATGTTCTCTCCTAATTGCGTCGCTCTTCCCCCTCGACCGCCCATATCTCGTCTACTACCCCATCCCTCCGCCCGCTGAGCTAACATCCTTGCTAGATTAATCCGACATTTGATGTGAAACGACATGTTTTTATGATGTAGAGTATCTTGCTTGACAAAGATGTTCAATTAAAGTAATTAAAGTATGTTTAATAATAGAAATACGCGCCTTTCAAAGTAGCATGTCGAATAAAAGTCCTTCGCGATGCAATTTTTAGGGAGTGTATTAATTAAACACTTTTGCGCACTAAAAACTGCCGACAGATTTTTATCGATTATTACGTTATTACGTAAAATAGGCAAATTAAAAATAATTGCGCCGGTTAGGTTTCTTTTGCTTGAGACTTCAAAAGGTAGACGTGAAGAATTTGTAAAAGCAAAAATGTTTAAATAATTCTTTAAAGGATAGAAATAAAAAAAAGTTCTAGCCTTAGTTTAGTTAGCCTCTGATCTATTTACATCAAACGCGGTCGATCTCGTTTTTCTTGTCATTCTTATCTTCCTTAGATTAGCTCATTTCTTCTTGTTTATAGAACTATCGTTCAGAGAAGGGTGTGAATATGAAAATAAGTAATCCGTAAATACATTGCGAGTATCCGCAACGTATTAAGCTTGGATCCGTGGGTTTGTTAAACCCAAATGACTGTGTGGACCAGTCGTCCCTGCGGGAAACATCTAAAGCGAGTATGGTATCGACATCTCCTGGATCTATTAAGAAGTATATATTATATTATCGATAACGCCTTCATTTACTCACGCAGTGTTACTATGTGAATTTGTGTGTACGTACACAATAATACGTCTATGTATCTGTTTATTTTTATTTGTTCATTTGTATCAATGAAAACACATTTTATACTATATTTATAATATCCTGTATATATCCTATATACATATATATTCTATCAATACTATGACGTCAACAACTGTGGAAATTCTAATCTAATTTATTGACGTATTAATATTGCGACTTTTAGCTTACTAACAGCAAGTCCGTTACCGATGGTCAATAATCGAACGCTTCTTGTACCACGTAATAACTGCACATCCAATGTTGGAGAACCAAAATCTGTGTCAAGACAATTGCTGTTTTCTATCTTACTCTGTGCTGATAACAGCAATTTATCATATAATATTATCTGGCCGAGGTGATATTTTTTCGCAATAAACTTAGAATAGAATATTTAGACACTGCCACCCTGTCACGGCTCTGAATCCTTTAAATTCTTTAGCAATTTATCAATCGTGATATCGGTACATTCAGTATGTGTTCTGATAACCGGTGATAACACCCCACAAGCAGTCCATGTTAAAATCAATATTTTAAACTCCATGGGTACGAAGGGCGCTTGTACCAACGTTGGATTAACCGTCGTTGATGAAATACTGAGCGTTACCGCTTGAGGATACCTCTATTTATTCCTCCGTTTTACCTTGATTACCTTGCCGCAGGCAGCATAACTGCATCCAAGTTTCTACTTTCAACCATAGTAGGCAGTAAAAAGATTCATATAAAATCTTCCAGATAATATTTAACAAGTAAATCGTTTTTCGATATATTAAAAGTTATATTGATAGATTTACAATTATCTGTTTCATTTTATTCATTTTTTAAAATACTTTATGTATACTTAAAAACGATATAAATATAGAGCTTTACGTAAATCATGTAAGTCAAACAAAAATATTTCAGACAACGACATTACTAAACATCTGATCCGAATCAAATGTAAAAAAAGTGAGATTTATGAATTTGTTATCCGCCACAAATTCGCTCATATATAACGCGGCATATTTGTATAAAGAGGGTGCTGAGTAAATCGCAGGGATCGGCGAGTCTTGCATACCAATGAGACTACTCAGACTCCTCCTTTTACCCTAATCAGGATGCAGCCCTTGACGCGACGCAACCCCTCCATCTCGGCTATTTCTGGAGCCACCGGCTTTACTTTGCTTCGAGGGCTGCGGCTCGAAGCGCGCACTGGCCGACTTGGAGGGAGACAGTGATGCAACAGGGGTTGGTGAAACGAGGATCTTAGTACATCCAAGACGGTGGCTGGTACGAGGTGTTACATTCCATCCGAGATTTTCAAATTACCGGATTATGCCAAGAAAACTGGCTGGCGCAGCAACTATCTAAGACGCTTAACGTCGTCGACACGGGTCGTATGGTTTTAAGTGACGATCATCCTAACACCTCCCTCTCCCCTCCCCCACCTCCCCTCGGCTCCTCTTGCCAAGTGAACGAATGAAGTTCGAGATTTAGTAGCTTCTTGCGCAGACAGCGTCTGACAAATGGTGCTGCTGGCATTAATGATCGCACTTTGATATCCACGCTTTCGTTTATACAGATCAGAAAAAAATACGAGTATCCACCCATTTATACTAATAGTTTAACATTATTTCGACTATACCATTAAATAGCTTCTTTACCGAAGTAAACTGTTCCGCAATTAATATTTCAGTTAATCTAATCTAAATATTGGATTAAGATTTAATCCAATATTTTCGTAAGAAATAGTATAGCATTTTTGTGAAAGAAGAATATGCTTTCAATGTTTTACTAAAGGACAATGATTATCTCAAATTGATGTAAGCCAAGTATTTTTCCTCTCCGTATTGATTTCTCATTTGTCCCGATAAAAACTTCGGAATAATAATCATTAAAGTGGAACAATCGTGCAACAATCGTGCAACAATCGTGAAATAATACATCGCGAAAAAGAAAAGCAATTCAACATCCCCTGTTTCCGAATTATTCTGAACTATTTAGGTATACGCATTCGTGCGTAGTCAGCATGTTGCGGCTGAAATACGATTAAAACACGGCTTTCCTTCGCGTTACGATTTCAAAAGCGAGCATTCATCTCGCAGCATTATGAACACCACCGATCGTGGCAACGACACATCTCAGAGTTTTTATTACATCCAATGCTGAACCACCCACTACGGCCGAGTAATAATTATTACTGGGATCTCACTTACACCGGGTCGTTAATATATAACCTCGCCTGGCGATAACGATTTCGAACTAATTGCTTCTCCTATATTACGTTTCATGTCGTTATGTTAAATATTAGTACGGATCAAAACACAGAAATACATGCATAAAGTTAAAACCAATAAAACGCAAATGCGTTTTCCCATCACATTCTCGATATTAAATACAACAGAATTTAATCCTTTGCAGATCCTATATCAAAGTGAATTCAATATGATGGTTTACGGTTTCAGTCTTTACCGCACCCTTTTTTTTCAAAGGTGCGCCATTCGTTGAAATTAATTTGGTGGGTCGAGTTGGATCCTGGTTTTTACATTTTTACATTGAATACAAGCGTTCTACGAATACAACATATCGATAGAATTCGGAGAGCGAAACAGCAAAGGGGTGAGGAGGGGGGGGGGGCAGGGGAGTAAGAACTTAATTTCAGCTCTAAATAAACTTTTACAGTGCAGATAGAGTCGCAATGTTTTGAAAGGGCAATGTACTAGAATCCGTTACGTCAGACAATTCTATCGGCAACTCGATTCCACGTTTTTACGCTCGCGATCGTGGAAAGCGCGAGATCACTGATGCGATACGCACGGCACAGATAATATCGCGCCGTCGGATCGATAGCTCGGCTTAACAGCGAAGCGCAATCGATCAGTTACCATTGTTGACGAGCCCAATCGACGAAACCCGGCGTGACTTCCTTGATGACGAAAAGATGCCTTTACGTAAGACGACAGTGAATGACACAATCGCCTGGTTCTTTCTAATTTCTTAGATCAATAGATCGACCGATCGGCAATCAGTCTCTAAACTCTTGGGCAGGTATTCGCACGATACAATTCTTTTCTTTGCTGACAACTGCTGCGGGAGATGTTGCGAAATTAGCGAAGCACAAGTCAAATTGCTCGTTTAAGTGATTGGCTACAGCGACGACTTGCAAGATCGATACGAATACATGCCTACTGCCTCGGTCAGAAAGACTTTATTTGAGAAGGGATTGATATAAAAGATTCAGCGAGGTAGATTGGACGGGCAAGGAATCATTGAAACCGGCAAGATTAAAGTAATCGCCTGCGAGATGCATTGGAAACTGTTTGTGTCACTGCTCCCGCACCTGCTCGTTTGTAACTCCGTGGCCAGATCTGTTATTTACGAAAATGTTGAGGACGATGTCGTCGCCGTTGGCTCGCTCATTCGTGAGGTACGTCAGCCGGCGCCGTTACAAGTCGCCGCTGAAGTGAGGGACCTAATGAGCGCCGGTAACGCACCGAGTGCTAAAAAACACATGAAAAACGCATCTGGTATGTGCCTTATAACTAATATTTATAATAGAACTAGTGTACAAAAACATCACAGTCTAAAAGCTATCTTAGCACTATAATTTATCATATATTAGTGTGATTTAAGTAATTATAAGAAAATGAACAAAGCAGAAATCAAATAAGCTAAAACAAGCACATTTTTAAAGCGCGTTTTTAAAAAAGTAGTTTATAATTTACTCTCTCCCTCCCCCCCTCTCTCTCTCTCTCTCACACACACACACACACGCGCGCGCGCGCGCGCACACACACACACACAGATATGTCAGATTAATGTTTATCGCCGAGTACTGAATTTCGGGTACGCGTTAGATGTCTTGTTGAGCGTAACAAGGGCGGACAACAATGTGGTTTTAGGCAAATCAGACGAGGGTGGTTACTACAGAACCTATGGGAGCGACGCGGAGGGTGAGAAGGGTTACTTGAAGGAAACCTACGGTAAAGGTGATCACGGCTACAAGACTCTCGACACCTTCCACAAACGGGATGGCGACAAATACGAATTTGAGACGCAAACCACTTACGGCAAGGGCCACGCTGACGACAAGAAACATCATCATAACGAGAAAAAGGATCGCGATCACGAGGGCGCGGGTAAAGAATCGTCAAATTGTAATTTACAAACTAACAGTAGACACTAGCGCGACAGTCCGAAAAGAAAATTAAGAGCAATCCAATCTACAAAAGACGATTCCGTTCCATTTATCGCACGTGGAATATAAATGTCGGTAAATTATCACCTTTGTCAATTTAAATAAAATATAAACGATAAAATGAAATTATCCTCGATCGAATTTAATCAAACTGTAGAAATATATACGGCAAATCTGTGAAGCACCGAGGCGCCATCAAATAGGCGTTGCGAGTAAAGTGAAATTATTCTTCATATACTTAGCATTTAATGCGATATGAAAATTACAGGTACCATGATGAATGCGGACTACGCCGGTGAAGCGAGTGATCACGATGAGGGAAGCGAGTACTCGCAGTATACCGAGGGCGACGATGGGGATCATTATAGTGGCCATTACACGGAGAAAGAGCCGGAATCTTACAGCCACAGCGAGAATTATTCCTCGGGAGATGGTGACGAGGGATCTTACGAAAAGCATAGCTCTTACAGCTCTGATGGGGACGAGGGAGAGGAGGGAGATCATTATTAATTTTATCAGTGTATATCATTTTAGCGTCCGGTTCAAATTGGAGCGTTCTCTTTTCCATTTCAACCGCAATCCGTTATCATAAATATTAATATTTTCTGTTGCATATAAAATACGCGTGTCATCATTGAAATTATCAAAAATAGTAGAGTATATCCGTGTATATGCATAAATACCTTTTTAATAAAAACGATGTGGCTCGCGCGCATGCATACGCACACATACATTTTCTGTTATTTCACGAGCGATTAATACTCACTTTGCAAGAGTAAATTTGTAACATAGATCGATTGTAATAATAATTTATGCTTAATAGCCAATAAAATATCATCGTCATGTGTTAATTTTACTTGGTTGTTAACTTTAAACTTTCTGTGCTACCTACATTATAATCGTAACAAGCAGTATTTATTCATAACCGACGTAATTATTCCTACGCAAATGGTTTTTCAATAGCTTTAATTAAAAGATGCAAAAATCTTTTGCATCGACGCGTTACGTTAAACCAGTGTTGGAGTAAAGCACGCTGTCGGCGAAATCGAATGCTATATTAATATTATAACAACGTTTCCATTATGAAATTTGCCTTTACGCTTTCGCGCTTGAATCGATCGCGAAAGTACGAGCGTACGCTCGAAATTACCGCCCGGCGAAACTTGTTACATTAGCAATGTCCGCGCATGATCGATTATCAACAGCTAATCCATTCTGGGGTACATTTCGCGTTGCATGCAAATAGTTCGTTCTCACGGTATGGATGGATACGTATCTATTCGTCGAAACGCTAATCCATTAAGTGGTTCGTTTCTTCATCAAAAACGCATCCTAATGTACGTGCGATTAAAGATGCGCGAGAATGAGTACGCACGTTTTGCGCGGAATGAATGTCACTGATTTAATTAGACTCTGAAGAATGGAAACGCGACGGAGGAGGTGGAGGAATTTTTCCCTCTCGTAAAGAAGAAATAAAGTTACGGCTTAATACCACAGTAACCGACATGCCATTTATTCTTCCAGTTAACACGATTCAGCTTTTACTTATATACCGTACGACATTCACTTAGGATAAAGTATTTGATTCGAATAAATTACGTTGCACTTGCAACGTTTATTGCGCGCGCTAGTTACACCAGCTAATCAAATTGTCGTTTAATCCCTTCGCGCGAATGTACGAATGTAGTTTGGTTTGTTGCGAAGGGCAGTTCTAATTTCTAATTTAACACCACTCGAGGATGAGAAGCAATAACTTGTTCTCTGTTCTTTGTAAAAAAAAAAACTTCGAATCAGTACGCTTTATGATCGCATAATTCGCTCAGAAGGCAAATAGCTTTTCAAATCTATCCCGCCGCTGCTTATAGATCAAATTTAATTACGCGCTTAATAGCGAAGGCCTGGGATCGTGCTAGATCGCAGATATTGCCACTCGGTTGGCATACAATAGACGCAGCTAATTGCCGACGAAATGCAGTTCTAGCTGACAGAAGATGAATACGATAAAAACGTGAGTTTGTTAAAAAGTACTTTCCATCACGCAAGAATGTGTCTCGTTGCACATATTTTAGACCTAGTCATCGGTGTAGGTGCGTCACATTCACGGGCGGGTTGCATTTTGCAATTATTTATAACGAGGAAACTTTCCAGCTGGTTGCCCATCTCCGAGCGGAAAATCAGTTTGTTAATTGTGCGAGATAATTATCGTTAAACGCTGCACGTGACAAAGAAATATTTTGTTGTCATCGCTTCACTCGACCATTTTCCGGTGCCTAGGCGCAATCTATATCAAACGCGATTAACACACGAAAAAAGAGAAGACATTTAAATTCGCTGACTCTACAGTTTTCGCCTTTGTATCACGCCGTGCGTATAATTAATTAGAGATTAAAGAGAAAATATATATTTATCCATCATTAACGAGAGAGTTAAAAAGACATATCGTTATTGAGCGCAAATAATCGGCTTAATTCATATTCAAAGGTGGTGTATGTGCAAACAATTAATAAATCATTTCAGGTCCCGATCAATACATACTAAGGTATGTAACGCTCTGCTGGTCTATTTTATTTAAACATTTCGCCAAAAAGAATATCGCGATGGTGGATCAGCTGAAAATACCAACTGTTTGCTTGCATAAATGAGTTTAACAGGCGAGCAGAGCAGGGGGAGCTCAAATTAGGGACTATCACTGTCAGCTCTCTCGCGGTTATCGTCGGAAAAGCTTGTACCTCGAATGGGGCTCTTGACCGTAGAATGGCAGCTATGTCGGGTGGTCCCTCCGGGTTTAAATTAGAAAACAATTTCATTAGCAGCCCAGGATCCAGCGCGAGGTCCTTTTGTTCGCGTTGGCGTATAACCCGACGGTTTTATTCAACATGCGAGAATGCGCCACGAGAGTGGTAACGCGGGGGAACAGACGGGAAGGAAGAAAGGAAGAAGGAAAGATGGTGCGAGGGTAAGACTTGAATGTGAGAGACAGTTCGGTCGTCGGATTGGGAGGGTCGGGACTAACGGTTCCATCAACTGATTGCACACCTCACAACTTAGCGACGCGGAATAGACGACGTCTGCGGTATTCGCTATTTCTTTCATTATTAACAAAATAGATTTAACAAAAATACGTGTCCAACGTTAATGGTAGTGTCTCAAACAAGAGAGTTTTCGCAAGTTCTTTATTTTGGGGATTTTCTATCTTATTATATCTCTAAACTAAAATAAAGATAATCACAAAAATACCACGAACACTTTGTTTTTCTTTAAATATTAGAACTAATATTAGAATTAATATGAATGGGATTATAATTGAAAAGCGTAACAGATTTAATGATATGAGTACTGAGCACTCTAATTATGAAAATTAAGCACGGGAACTTTTCAAATCTTGGCATCGCTATCCTTGGAAACGGCGCAAATCGAGCGAGAGTAAAATGCTTGATGAGTTAACGAATTATGCTGCGATTCACGGACGCTTCGTTACGCTCCTCTCCGCACGTAAAAGATTTCAATGACATTTTAGATTTTAATTGAAATCGCGCCGAGCCATTGGCCAAACAAAGAGGCGAATGATCTGGATGGCCCGACGCCGCCTCAGATCTGCTTACAAAGCAATCTTTCCATCTGAGTCGAGATCTACGGCGAATGCCACCTAATCTAATCTCCGTTACGACGCTGAGTCGAAATCGAACTTGGCAGAACCTCTGGTCTTCTCTCTGTCTGAGGGATTCTCTGGAAACTGGGCAGTAACCAATCTTTATCTTGATTATGCAGCGGCAACACCGGCGAGAGCCAATCTTCAATCGAAAGTGGCTGCCAAGTAAGATCGTAAAGAATCAGAATCTATCGAGCGGTATAGGTCTGGCTGCGAAACGAGCCGATACTTTGGATTTGCAATGGAAATGTCGACAATCGCGGTACCGCATTTGCCACTTTTTGTATTTGCCGTGCATCGTCGCTGCCATTTGTTTGTCTCATACCAATGAAACCTACCACGGATCAAATTTTACGCTACGGAATTGCAGTCTGCAAGTTTTAGGCTTTCGACTTTTCTTTGATAACATTTACAAAGACTTTCCCCCCTTTCTGGATTTCATTGAACAGCGTCGTACATCGAGTTTCCTCTTTGCGCTGTCATTAGAATCGGTAGAAGATTAAGACCGCAGACGCCATTATTTTATCCGGTTTTCGATGGTTTTCCCCGAGATCATCTAATAAAACCGTCAGGGTTTGCCGGAACAAATGGGTCAACAGTTAGCGAAACGACCCGCGCAACGAACGCCGCGCATGATATACGCGTCGCCGGCGTCTGTAAAACTCAATAAATTGTTTTTGGTTTATGACGTTATAAATGGCACTGTGTTTACGAGAGGCGAATTTATGTCGCAGGTAATAGAATTAATGATAAAATTAGACAGCTTATCGATGAGCTAGCGAGCGCGACGACACGAGCGCGTGCTGCGATAACAAAACGCTTCTAGGGCATTCGACGCGACATATGCGTATCCTGTATTTGTACGTCATGACGTTAATTAAAATGATTGTGCGAGCATCTGGTAGGGTACTTAACTTCAAATATCGATTGAGGTCACGCCGCTACGCGAGGTGTCGATCGGGCGCGTGCATGTGTCGGACAACGGGACGCCACTTTGATTCAAAATAGATATTGGCCATACGCGACTGGGTTTTCACGTTCCGCATATTAATTAATCCTCGCCTCGAAAAAGCGAAAAACGATCAGTCACATTTTATATCACCGCTGGTATTGAATTATTTACTTAGCAAACCTTGAAACCGAGCGCAAAGTTTCTAAAAAAAAAAGTAAGTAAAAATCAATGCCACTATTATATTCTACTTACACTTACATTCTAATTAATTATATCAAAATCGCATCTAAATGCAGATACTGGTTACAAATGAAAAAAAAAGGAAACAAGTCGATGCGAAGACGATAATGCGATTTGTTGCGGTCTAGAAATTTCCGTGGTTATTGTACCCGCGGCAGACCGATGCTCGTGGAAAAAGTGGTAATGGAAAGTTCTCTTCCTGACGCCGGGCACGACTTTTTGCGGAAACATTGCGTTCACGCAGTGTATCGAGATGCGATTAATCGAATAAAAAAAGTTTACATTGTTCGAAACATTCGTCGGGGAATTCGTAATTTTCTAAATATTATTCGGGAGGAACGTTAACGAGACAATTTGTTATGTCACTTCGCAAGCAAGAAATCACAATGAGGGCCGACTCGACGAATAATGTTTTAACACCCGATTGAACTCTGCGAGATAGCGCGACGGAATATTCTAGTAGAATAAACGCAACGCGCAGCGATGCGAGAAAGTGTGAAACCGTGTGCCTCCCCGCCGCACCGGTGTCAACGGAGATTGGAACGAAATTTAGGAATACTTGCGGTCGTGCGGATGAAAGTGGACTCGGCGGAAGCAGACGGCCGCGTCGTGGCGGAAGTAGCTGGACCATCGATATTTAAGTGTCAACCGTCGTAACATCGGCCATCAGTCCGATCGGAACCGAGTGCGATCGAGATGGTGCGAAGAACGATATTATTTCTGCCATTCGTCGCAATATGTTCGCTCACGTGGCACGCAACGTGTCACGCCCGAGATCTGGCCAGTGCGGAATCGCGCGTCAGCCGGCGCGATGTGCAAGGAAAGATCGATGACCATCACGCGAGTCATTTAGAGCCCACCGTGGTGTCGTCACCGACTGCAGAGACGGGCGACACCGATCTCGAGGCGGCAGCGACCAAACACAAGGGCCATCATCACGAATCTGGCGGCGGTCACAAGCATGAATCTCACCATCACGAGGAGCACGGCGGAAAGGGCGAAAAGGGATACAAGAGTCATCACCATCACGACAAAGGTGACAACGGTAAGCACGATAAGGAGCACCACTCCGGCCACCACGAGGAACACGGGGGCAAGAAGAAGGGCCACCACGACGAGCACGAGAAATACGGCGAGCATCACGAGGGCGAGAAGGGTCACAAAGGCGGAAAGTTCGGCGAAAAGAAGGGCCACAAGAAGGGCCACAAGACCAAAGGCTATCACAACAAGTTCCATAAAGACGAGTACCATAAAGAGCACAAGTTTTATGACGATTACCACAAGGGTGGACACCACGAGAAGCACGGTGACTTCCACGGTCATCACGATAAGAAGGAAGGCCACCACAAGAAGGGCGGCCATCATCATTCCGGCTACCACGAAGATCACCATGGCAAGAAGGGCCACCACGACAAGGGTCATCACGACGAGGAGCATAAAGGCCACCACGGCAAGCACGGCCACGACGAACATCACTCCCATCACGATGGTTACGGCAAGAAAGGCGATCACCATTCCGGAAAAAAGTATGGCTATAAGAAAGGACATTAGAATTGTACCTTCAAGTATTACGTATCAAAAAGCGATTACTCGTTCTACAGTTGCGACTTATGTACCTGCTTCGGACAAAGTCACGCGACGATGTCGCGTGGTTATTGTATTTTGTACCATTCTTTATATAGAGCGAATACTAACATACACAAAGAAATTGTTTGGAAATTGCGGCTCGTTGACTTTTCTCTCTCCCTCAAGTCCTAATGGGGCAAATAAGTTTCTCCCTTTCCTCCTCCCCCGGCTCATATTTGTCCCAGCAGCTACATTACAGTCAAGACGGCAACGTGATATTACGCCTTATCGATTCCTCGCGATTTATTACCGTCGTTTTTCTCGGCGGCCTTTTATCACTTCCCATCGGCAAACTAAAGTAATTTTGCCATTTCTTCTCGCCCTGTGCCTTCGCTTATTGACAAAGATAACGATTACGCGAGAACGAACACGTCATTGTTCTCAAATCATGCGGGCGGAATTTTTATTCATTAAAACAAGTTACTCGAAAAAAAGAAAACCGAGGAACGGCGTATTATCGCGTTAATATCGGGTGTCGTTATTATCAATTCGATTTAAAAAAATTGAATTTACATCTCGATTTAAATATTTGTTTTGGAAATGGCACGTGGCTTGTGTCGATAAAACTTTTTTTCTGAAATATAAAACGACAGCTTGTTCGGTTTAAACTGGCGCGAGACGATTACTATACGATGAAAGTATTTTCAGTACCGCGTCTCTATTGTCGGGCAAGAGTAATATATTAGCAATTTTGCAGTATGAATTTTAATGTCACATATAGCACAGATCATTAATGCACCAATAATTGAGGTTAATCGATTGGCCAGCTGATTGAATTGATTACCGGATATTAATGTGCCGCGAGAACGCATGTTGCGAGTTGACACCGTTAAATTTGTAGATAAATACCACATATGCCTACACGCTACAGTGTTATCTCTTGTAATAGTGTGCAACATAATACACATGCTGTCCATTGTAAAACATCAAAATGAAAATATACTTTTATACTGTAATATAATGTAATCAATATCACATCGCGTTCAAAAATAGAATCAAGCCATATTGTTTAAAGTCTATAACAATGTTTGAGAATAACTCGGTCTAAATTGCATTTCCTCTTTCGTATCATTCCATTGTTTTCGAGATTAAATTGAAACGTTTTCAAGTTAACTATTTTCGTAAAGAATAATGTAGACGTTGTTTTTGCACAATTAGTTTTCTATACCGCCGCATTATAATGTATCGACCAGCTAACGCGTGCTGACGAAAACATATTATATAATCGCTTAATGTAAGTCGCTGATATCTTTTGTAATAGCCAGTGTATATAGCCAGTGCTCTTTATTAATTGATTAATTAACGATTTTAGAAACTGTTATTTAAGCATCTCTGCTTTATGTGTATAATTTATAAGTCTACCAATTAATGGTTTGTAAATAACAAAAAACTGAATCTCTACGTACAATAAGGATTCCTGCTAAATAAAGACGTTGTTTAAAAACGTAACTAAAATGTTGATTAAAATTGAATTGACGTTGAAACAAATTTTCCGATCTATTTTTCGTTGTTTCAATTTAATGTCCCACGTCAATAGATCATGACATTTACTAGCATTAGACAGTGTGCAGCTAATAGTAAACAGCTTTGATTATGAACATACTTGATTACATCTGTTTTTAGCGTGATATAATACAATGAATACGCCAACAAGATGAGCTTAATCCAAATATTTAATCTAGTAGCTTACGTCAAAGGATTTCTTGCGCGGCCTCATGATGCAATTTTCATTATACGACTGTAGCAGGGAGATCATTTATTATTCGAAGGGTTGCTTCAACTTGGTGAAAATTTTATCAAAGATACGGAAGAGCTTATTTAGCTCGTTTTCGGCAACGTTTTATTAAACAACTCTTATTCTCCATTGTGTTTATTCATTAAAAACAATTTATCGTTCTATTTTGTCGCGCGGGTAAAACATGCAACGTGATAATGTGAATAAATTTTGTTTCGTAATACAAAGTAAGGATTGTATTTTGACTTTTTCTTTTTGTTAAAAGCTTCCAGTCTGGCAACAATTCGCGAAAATGCAATGTAAATGTCACGTGCTCCCGAGTCTTCATTAATTTGGTCAAATGGCACGATTATTTTGGCTTCATGAAAGCATGCAGAACGACCGCGGTAGTGCGTACTTCTTCGAGCACGAGCGTTTCGCGCTTTTCCTCCTTTTTTCTCCCCCGGAGCCACTTCAATTACATTAATTAAACCACCCACACGTGCACGCATTACAATCCAAAACAATAGCGGTCCCTTTCGACGGCCGCCGCGCGCCGGAATTGTCACACGGCGGAGCATTTCAAGTAGGTTCGTTGCCGCGCGCATGCAATCTCCGGCGGAGATGGAGGCAATGGGCTCGCACAACCCTGAACACCCCCTCGCTACATCGTACGTGGCAGTAAAGAAGTGCATAAAGTCCCGTTAATCCGTGTCCGGGGTGCCGGAATTCAATTCGGACGGACGCCATAGAGGTGGCGATCTCATTTGCTACAGGGTGGGATCGTTAATCAAATCCGCGGCGCGATGAATACGATAGTAGGCGCCGGGTGCGTTCTTGTGCCGCCTGTTTTTGCAACGAACGACGCATACGCAACGCGGCAGAAAGTGGCCGTATCGTCCGGTATTAGTTTGCAAAGTAGATCGAGAATGCGTGCGCTATAATAAATGACGAATATTAATTGAAAATTACACAATGTTTTTTTTTCTATGCCTTACACACCATTTTCACGCGCACGACAATGACAAATGCGCCGTTTCTCTTTAATTAATCGCTGTTTTTAAGATAATGAACGTTCTAGTCGAGTTGCAGGACAGCCTCGGAAGACTTCGCTAATAATAAATATTAATACTTAATACCGCGGGAATACACTTTATCTACCGCTGCTCGATAATGCGTTATAACCAACGGCGAATTTAATGCTGTTTATTAATATCGGAATTTGATAAATAGCTCAAGCATAGGAATTTTTATTAAAAGTGAAGATCTCAGGCACGCTGATAATTTACGGTACCCGTAATTTGCCGATCAATAACGCATATATGTCTATTTAATTAAGAAAGTGTACGTTTCCGACAACTGCAGTTTTCACGTTAAACAAAATATAGCAGATTGAAGAAAAGATGTTGTTGAGTCTTATAAAATAGTCATCATTCTGTAAGCATTAGCTATGGTAGAATTCTGCAACTATTTCGATGTTAATTTGCATATCACGCAATTGCGTGCAGTGTAAAAAAGATATGTTAAATATGTTACTTTATTTCAACGATGTATGCACGATTAACAATTAACGCAGATATAGAGTATATATTATTGCGTAATGTGAGGAAAGCATGAGTAGTAGGAACGAAAGCGAGTAACAGAATTCTATTTAAAGGCAGCTGGTGGTATCTCCTGGGCAGTAAGAATTTTCAATGTCCCTTCTTGAATCCCCAGTGCTTATGGTCCTCGTGACCGCCCTTCTTGCCGTGATGATGATGGTGATGATGATGCTCGTCATGGTCGTGGTGACCTTTATGTCCCTTATGATCATGATGATGGTGGCCTTTCTCGTGGTGACCCTTCTTGCCGTGATGACCCTCGTGATGATGATGATCGTGATGTCCCTTCTTAAAGTGCCCACCCTTCTTGTGCCCGTGTTCGTGATGATGGCCACCGTGCTCGTCGTGGTGACCATGATCGTGATGTTCGTCGAAGAATTCTTTGTCTTTCTTGTACTCGTCGTGCTTTTTCACTTCGTGATGACCATGAGTGCTGTGGCCTTTGCCGTAGTGTCCCTTCTCGTGGAACTTATGGCCCTTCTCCCCCTTCTCGCCATGATGATGCTCCTTATGATGGCCATCGTCGTGATGATGATGCTTCTTATGTCCTCCGTGCTCATCGTGGTGGCCATGATGATGCTCCTTGTGATGATGACCCTTGTCACCCTTTCCGTGGTGATGGTGGTGCTTGTAGCCCTTGTGACCTTTGTCGCCATGTTCATGATGATGATCAGAATGATGCTCCTCCCCGCCACCGTGTTCGTGATGATGACCATGGTGGCTGGCGGCTACCTGAAGATCGTCGTAATTCCTGGTAATTTCACGTGCGGTGGTCACGCAATTAGTGGCAATATAAATTGCCACAAGAATGGTTACCAGTGGCAATGCACTACGTAAAGGAAACATGATGACAACAATTGTATTTTGATACTCAATCTATTAGTCTATCGCACTAATAGATCTAACCGTTTTCTAGCAGTGCAAGTTGTATGATGTAGCGATTCCTGGAGTGTTATTTATATTGCGATTCTGGTGCAGTGAGCCATCAAATTCGGTAAGAAACGGTATATATTTATATAAATAAAATATGGCGGGGAGTTCCATTTCGTTTCCTCCGTTACGGTAGATTATATAGAGTCTGTTCTATTTTGTAATCTACGTCTTGTTTAAAGTTATATAAATGGAATTACGTGATACTGATTAAACTTCCTTTATTGATTTTTTAATAGTTCACTGAACCTATGATAGAAAGTTACACTCCGTCAATATTGTCTTTTATCGTTTATATATAATAAATATGATTGAACGCATTATTTATATATAATAAATATAAAATCAAATATATATAAGATATGAAAATATTTCTATTAAAACAGTTATGAGAGAATTTTCATCCTTATAATTGGATTCAGATTTATACATTATTGTTTGTTGACATATTCTGTAGTCAACAGAATATAGACTATTGTAAATCACTTTATATATTTTTATAAATTATAAATAATTTTTTAACTATTTTAGGTTTCAATTTCAAGGGTATGACAAAACTTGACGTTACGTTTTTAGTATTAATTTTTTCAAAATATTCATATATTTAATCAAAAATATTCTCATTTAAATTTCATATAAAAAGAAATGTTCATGTAACTGCCTCCCCTAACACGTTACAGAAGATAGTTAAGATAAGGTATTTCATATATTAATAAAGTACCTTTTAGGATCTTGAGAAAATATTAGCATCTTATGCTTATCTCAATTTATACATTGACCTAGTCATATATTTATTAAGAGGAAAATTTACGTGCTCAGAGTAAACTGATCCTAATATTCTTTAATATGTGCGCATTAGATAATAATTTTTGAATGTAAAGATATCAATAAGAGTATATTGTGTTAATAATATGTACGTATACAAATATCATAGGCACGACAAACATAAATAATGCAAATAAGTATAAAATGCGATTTATATTCATAACGTTTTTATATATGAAAAGCACATTTCCGTTTGATATGATTCAGTACTATGTGTTTTGATATAAGAAACTTCTGTAGCGGGTGTACGTAGGAATCATTTGGGGAAATAATGCGTTCAATCATATTTGGTATAGGCATTTTAATTTCTCAATAACGAAATAAATCCATTATTATTCGACGTCCTAAAATTAATCAACGAAAGGACAATGAACAAATGGTGCAACAATTTATTCTGTTCGTGTCGCACTAAATTGGCAAGTTTCATATCGTTAATGATGATGATGGTGGTGACCACCGTGGCCGCTCGAATAACCATGCTTTTTGCCGCCATGATGCTCATGCTTCTTTCCATGATCTTCGTGATGGTGATGGTGTTCTTCGTGGCCATGTTTGCCATGATGACCATGGTGATCTTCATCGTAATGTCCTTTATCGTGGTGACCCTTCTTACCGTGGTGATCTTCATGGTGGCCAGAATGATGATGTCCACCCTTCTTGTGATGACCTTCCTTGCCATGATGATGCTCGTGATGGTCGCCATGCTTCTCATGGTGGCCACCTTTATGATGATCATCGTAGAACTTGTGTTCCTTATGGAACTCATCCTTATGGGATTTGTGATGATAGCCATGTGTCTTCTCGCCTTTCTTATGACCCTTTCCGTGGCCGAATTTCGCTTCTTTATGGCCGTGTTCGTGCTCGTGATGGCTACCGTGCTCATCATGCTCGTCGTGATGACCCTTCTTATGGCCGCCATGCTCGTGATGATGACCCTCATGGTGTTCCTTACCATGATGGCCGTGTTCGCCGTGTTCATGATGATGATGGCCCTTGTGACCTTTATGGCCCTCCTCACCGTGTTCTCCGTGATGATGAGAATGATGCTCGTGGCCACCGCCGTGTTCATGATGGTGGCCATGGTGATGGTGATGAGAACCAGCCACCTCCAAATCTCCCCTCATACTCCGGACATCTCGCGCCGAAGATACAGCAATGACTGTGCATATCACAGCCAATCCGAGAAACAAGCATGGACCTACGTATTTAGCCATGTTGGAACTCTATAGAACCAACAAGTGCAATTGACTGCCCAGCAATCTTTAAAGCAAAGCTTATATACCTGCGGTTCCACCAATGCCTTGTACGTAATCGCTTTCGTTCCTTCGCTCTTGTTCGAACACAATACAGCACTCGTATTTCGTAAAACATTTATTCGTACTGTGTATTATTGCTTGAACGCGCTATTAGTTATACAGAGCCATTGTCAACTTTGATTACTTAACAGACTCGATATTGAGTAGAAAGTTAGAGAGAGAGAGAGAGGGGGGAAGAGTAAAAACGTAAATATGTGCAATTATATCGCGTTGTCTAATTTATGATTTAGATCATTATAACAAAACTTGTTAAAAAATATTGAGCTAATTGTAATATATGTGTAACATGCATGCATATAATATAAAAAATAATATTATCTTTTACAAATGTATATGTAAAGTAGATATAATTAAAAACCAATTTTTAAACTAAACCTTTAAATATAACAGTAAAAAAAGTAGATTTGCTGAATTTATGTAAAGGATATATTACATCTATTACGTATCTTGTGTTTTATGAAAAATGAACGCTGAAAATTTATACGTATCTAGAAATCAAATTAGTTGAAATAAAAATGATACGTCTATTAGTCAGGCGCACTTAAAATAATCAAGTTAATGCAGAATTTATCGACAAATAAACAAAAGCTATCTGCCAATTTAACGGTTGATGACCGATGGAACGGAATGCACAGCAGAACGATTTACCGTCTTTCATTCATAACCGTTCAATTTATTTCCGGCGTCAATCGAAGCGCTTTTTTTATCGTGCTACGGGCTAATACTCAATGGCAATGTCCGGTCGTACATATTACACCCTTGCGTTTATCTCCAAATATATTAATCATATAGATTTCCGTTCGTTGAATTGAAGCTATTGGAAATCAGCGTACTGCCGTTTGGTTGAAAAAAGGATAAAAACGCGTTATTTAAGCTCCACAAACGTAGTTTGGTAAGCAGGGCAACGATTTCAAAGTTATTACATAACGGCCTGAGCGACTGTCACGCGAACTCACTGAAATCCGCATTACAATTTAAACAGGTTAAGGAGACATTGCTTTCGCAACGGCCTAATGAGCCAAGAAAGAACTCTGGCTACTCTCATATCGTTTATCCTGCGGTCGATATATAATCCGAGCGGGGCGACTAGCTTAATCATATCTACCGGTCGCAGCGACGAAGTCAAACATCTCGCGTTGATATTGGGTCAAACGAGAATAAACACGTCACGATGAGCAGAGTGGCGGCGATCTGCCTACTGGCAGCATGTATCGCCTCTCATTCCGTGACTTTCGCACGCGAGATCAGCAGGGCACATTACGACGATCTGCAGGTAGCCGCTACTCATCATCATCATGAGAGCGGCCACGGGGGAGAGCATCATTCCGGCCACCATCACGAGCACGGTGGAAAAGGCGACAAAGGTTACAAGTCGGATCACCACCACGAAAAGGGGGAAAAGGGACATCACGATAAAGAAGGCCACTCTGGACATTATCACGAGGATGAAGGCCATAAGAAGCATCATCATCACGATGATGGCTACTACGGCGAGCACCACAAGGGCGAGAAGGGAGAGAAGGGTCACAAATTCCACGAGAAAGGGCACTACGGTAAAGGCCATAGCACAAAGGGCCATCACGAGGTTCACAAGCTTGATGAGTTTAAGAAGGATAAGGAATTCTACGACGAGCATCACGATCATGGTCACCACGACGAGCATGGTGGTCATCATCATGAGCACGGACACAAGAAAGGTGGCCACTTTAAGAAAGGGCATCATGACCACCATCATCACGAGGATCATTACGGCAAGAAGGGCCATCATGAGAAGGGACACCACCATCACGATCATAAGGGTCACAAAGGCCATGGCGGACATGATGAGCATCATCATCATCACCATCATCATGGCAAGAAAGGCGGTCATGAAGACCACAAGCACTGGGGATTCAAAAAGGGACATTAATGCCGGATATGCGGAGAATTATAATTTCGTTGCTATTGCTTGTTGAGTTGCGCTGACTGTCATGTTGCATTAATTGTTGTACGTGACGACGAACAGAATAAATCTTTTACAATAGATATATTTCATGTTGATGTATTATCGCATGTTACGTTATGCCAATTCGCTGCAAAATGCAATATGTGTTTATTAACTCATAACTTTTTTGCGCTCCTGTATGTTTCGTGTAAATGTTTAATAGCTCGCATTAATCAAGCCCTTATAACGCTATAGACGTATACTGGACGTAAAATGAAATTTGAGTTATTTCTGCGACTGTAACGTATGTCGCGAAATCAGTAACTGTCGTAATAATTCAGTGGAGTTTCATGTTTTGTGCTATATCAGTCACGCTTCTGCGGTGTAGCAGCTGTCACAAGAAAATATGGCCGCTCGTTACATGCTATTTCCATAAAACAATAGTATTGGCCAGTTACCGCATTCTGTGGTGCAATTGACACGGTTTTATATTTGTTTTATCAAGCGTTACTTGGGAATTGCATATTTTTAATCTCAACGATCAAAGTTAAAATAATTGAATTAACTCCAAATATTCCTAATGCAATTATGCAATTCAATATAAAACATTAATAATAATTCTTAAATAATGTTATGTGTTCAATATGCCCAGAGTAAAAGCCTGCATCATAAAAATGTAATTATATTTCCTTTCGTTACATGATATAAATAACAATATAAATATAAAACAGCAGCAGACAAAATTATATTAGGATTAAAGAATACATATTCAGCAAATCAATTAATGTCAATCAACTTTGTCGTACCCGTGTTTCTTACTTAAACGCGCGTCTTCGTCGGAGCCATAATTTTTATAATTATTGTGAAAAGAATTTTCACCCTTTTCCTTATTATAGCCCTTATCACGGTTCTGTATTCGCCCTTCGTCATAAAATCCCTTTTTCCCACTATTTTCATCATCAAATCCGGACTCATGATGTCCACCTTTCTTGAAATTGCCCTCGGCCGCTTTGTGGTCCTCGTCAGCAACCAAGTACTTGTCGAAATAACCTTTCTTGTGGTTCTCATCATAGAAATCGGTATGTTTTTTATATTCATCCTTGTGGTAGACTTTATGAAAGCCGCTGGTCTTTTGTCCCTTTTTGTGGTACGATGTCCGCCCATAGCTGCTACCCTTTTTACCACTCTCAGTTTCATCGTAGCGTCCATAATTTCCGGCTATGTCGCTGCGCCCTTTTTCGCGCCCAGTTTCAGTATCGTAATGTTCTGAAAGATCCAGCAAAAAGTAACGTCTCACCCGGAGTAAATAGGTTTATGCGAAAATGTATGTGCATATTGAAACGCGTATCGAGGAAATCAATGAACGTCTGTTGAAAAAATAAATAAAACTCCACCTTGCTGGCTGCTTTTAGCGTGCTGTCCGCGTTCACCCACGTCAAATTCCACTTGTTTGTTGTACCCTTTGTCACCCTTTTCTCCATGAGCGGAATTCTGTGCGGCCGAATACTTTTCACCGTGTTCAAACGAAACGTCGATATCTGAACGAGAGTTGTCGAGGCCGTGAATAGGATGGGTTACTACAAAATCGACGGCTTTTTCGCGATTCTCAGAGGCACGATCTTTATCCTCTTTTTCATCACCGTCCTCATCGTCGTCATAATCGTCCTCATCATCCTCGTCGCTCCTTTCATCGATATTTTTATCCGCTTCGCGTGGTTCAAATACATCAGGTACGTAATACGGCGCACGTGCAGCTAGTTTGGGCGGCTCAAGCGGTTGCGCGTATTTCGCTAATTGGCCCACGCCATAATTAATGAATCCATCGCGCGGGTAAGGCTGGCGCGCTACGTACGGTGCAATTTCGTGCTTTGCAGTCGCATACGCGAGCAGAACGGGTTCGTGCGACGACGCAGTTTCAGAAACGGCGGGCGCAACAGGTGCAGGACTGCCGACGATGTAATGCACTGGCGCCGGTGCATGGTAGTAACGTCCGCTTCCGTGATTGGTATACCGCGTGTACGAGGCCGGAAGACCCCCCTGCTGATTGTACGCGTACCCGCTTGCGGAGGTCTCGAGATCGGCCATTCTCATCTTAGAGACCGTCATGTGTGCCGTCCTCGCTGATGACGCGCCATTGCCGGCTAACAGCGCGGCCATCACCAAACTCGCAATCATGCTAATCAAATCCCTCGCCCTCATAAACACACACCACGCCGGATAATAATCGTTATTACGTCTCGTGGCCGAATTGTCTGGCACTGTTGTATCCGTTCGTCAGCGTTATCGCCTTATATACGCACGCTAGAAGGACAAGTTTATCCTCCCGTCGTGTAGGTGACACACTGTTCGGCGACATCGAGAGTTTCATGGCCGCCGCGTAAGTGCTTCAAATGCGGAGCGCATTATCGACGGTGTATTTCTTTCGCCACGATATTAGTCAACACCCCGTCGGGGTTGCGTAATAATTCAGCGAACGATTCCTCGTCGATCGAATCCACGAAGTGGATACTCGGGGTTACAGTTGGTTCAAGTCGAAATTCAGTCGAAAGAAATTAAATTCCGAAGCTAACGATTATTCGATTCTTTTTGCGTGTACGAATTGTAAGGTCTATCTACGACATATTTCACAACGTTTTGCTCTCTGCAACTGCGATCTAATCCCGCGAGTCGGCTTTGCATCACTGATTGACTAGTACCGTAAACCGCCGTTGATCTTGAATTGGCTGTACGCTAGGCTAGATACGCTAAGGCCATGTGAAATCAACGGTCTTCGGTCCGGCCGAGCGATTATCGTGCGATATAAAAGAGCTGGTATTATTGCGCGATTATTGCAGTGCATGCCGGCGCGTTGCCACACTGAATGTCCCTCTGTCTTGTGCCTAGTCTACTTACCGAACATACGTATAATTTCAAACAAATTCGTGGATCAGATTGGACTACCCGTGCTTCTAGGCAACGGGGACATCCACAAAACAAATGAAGATCTATGCAGGATGGTATGTCGTTTGCGCTGTGCTCTGCGTTCGCGCGCATCCCTGGAAAGACCGACCTAATGAGATGTACATTAGCAGCTCGTTCAATCCAAAGACAACAGCTAATGGCTATGGCTTCGAGGAGCAGCTATCCGCGACGAAATTGTTTAAGATCTTCGAAGATAGTGAAGAGTTCGAGGAGGAGCAGAGACCGTCGACGATGAGAGCGATCGTTGCGAGAGCAAAGACCAGCCCGGTCTTGCTACCCCTGATTATAGAACCTGAGGCGGAAATGTTGCCGGTTGGTTACGAGGGCGTCAAGTCGCCTGGTGTCACCCACATGGAGCTTGCGTTCCATGAGAAACAACCGCGAGCCAACCCGAGTCGCAAAAGTGCGACATTAAGAGCATCGATAACGGACGACGGGAACGCTGGTAAATCCGGCGGATTTAATCGAGATAACGACGAGCATTATGCCGCGTCGAAGCATGAGACGCAAGTGGCAAGAGATGATCGCGGCGCCAACGGCCTCGTCGTTTTCGAAATAGGTGCAAAGGGCGACGCGAGAAAGGAGAGCGAGAAGACGGGGTATACCGAGGTCTCCGGCGCGAGTAAAAGCCATTCCGAAAATGAGGATCGCGCGAAGAATCATAAAGAGGAAGTCGTGAAAAAGAAGGGCGCTACCTACGAGAGCAGAGATGGTCACGAGAGAGCTCGTAACACCGCCGGATATCGCGACGTTTATCACAAAGATGAGTTCAACAAGGACGCTGATTTCTACAGCAACGGACGTCGGGGTGGACACTTTGAGCGGCATGGTCGATACGGCGAAAAACACGCCGCCGCTGAAGACGAATACGCGAGAGGCAAGACTAATGGTTCCAGATTCGTCGACGTGGAAGCCAACAAGCAGAGCAAGTCCGAAGAAAAGACGGGCGACAAGCGAGAAGCCCAAGGTCACTCTAAGACGGATTCTACGGGAACTTGGGCGGATTCATAAAGCAGACAGGCTTAACGAAGGGTTGAAAGTTCGCTTTCAGCAACGGCGGCCCAAGTTGACGCGTGTATGACGCTTGCGTGAGTTGCAACTGTACAGTAGTCGTTAATTTAGAGATAAATAGAAAAATGCTCGGTCAAATGTACATGTACTCAAACAGTTAATGCGGGCACATTTATTCCACCTCATATTTTTTTGTGTTTGCACACGCCGCGTTGCGCGTTTAGTGAAATATAAAATGAATACAAGCGCAAACCCTCTTCTCCCCCTCTCGTTTTTATATTGACTCAGATGATTTTTAATAAATCAGTCCAAGACACATTTATTATCAATTGTTATTTTATAATTTCTCGTCCCGTCTGTAGCTCGATGGTTTTATTACATCAATTATTTTGTCGACTTTTTACTTCAGCATAGAAATGTTTTAATTGGCAATCACAATCGAGGATCTCGGCAATAAATTTCCCTTTCTACAATTCATCATAACGCGGTGATTCCAGTTTTATTTACGCAACCGACTGATGATCGAATACAACTCAACGGTAACCGCACTCCGGTCGGCGGGCGGTTAATGGATATTAAACAATGCCCGCATTGTTGTACCGATAAATTGCAATCTTTCGCGAGTGGGCCTGCCCGCGAAATGAGAATCAAGGCACATAATTGATATATATACGAGTCGTTGTATCTCCCCCGCATTCTCATTGCGGGCTCGCCACCAGAGTCCGCGAGGGCATTCCACTTCGGTAACGTATACCTATCGGTCTCGCACCAACTCCGCTGTAGTCTGACTACGATATATGTATAAAGCCCGCATCCCCTTCGTGGCTCAGTGAGCTCGGGTTCCCCGCATTCATCAACAATAAGCCGCAGCACCTACCGTCCTCGCATACGTATCTGCGAGTACCACCTTATATATGTGTGTGTATATTCGCGCGTAGCTACGACCCTTTCGCATACACGCCGTCGCAGTGCGTATACATGCACGCACGCGATCCTTGTATTATATGTATCTGTCCGTTTATGTACACGGTGTATATAAAGGTGCATGTATATCGGAAGCGGTGGAACGCGGCGCGAATACATAAATCAGATGCCGCTCTGCAGGCTGCCACCCATATCACTTCGTACAACGGCCATGAATGAATAGAGCCGTGTTTGAGTTATCGTCCGACCTGGTCTTCCAGAAACTGCGGAACGTCGGCGTTAAGTTTTACCGCCCGGAATGCTTCTTAATGGAAGCGAAACGCGTTCTCCTTTAACTGCGCCACGAATTCCCGTAGAATTCGACGTGGAATTCAAGCAAACTAACAACGAACGTTATCTAATTACATGCATTGTTTTATTTCGGTATTTCGTTCCTAGTTCAATCAATGTTCTCGCGAAGCCCCGCTCCGCGTACGTAACGAACGTCAGCTCTCGGATAATTTACGTCAAAGAAGTAGATCTGACAGTTTGCCTCGACGGCGACGTTTTACCCCGAGAAGAAATGCAATTTATCTTCTGATAATCTCCAATCCTTCGAAAGCGGACGTTTGCCTCGTATCTTGCTCCCCTTCCTTTTTATTTGACCGTCGCACGTCCGATGCGCTCGTGCGATTCTTCGGGAACGCCTGATTTCGGGGATCTGATCGCTTTTCCGCGATAGTTTATTGTCACCCGTTTATCTTCACTGAGAAAAACCTTAGCAGTTAAACCGCATTCCGAAGGCGTTTGTTTCGCAATTTGTGAATAGCACGAAGTACGCAAATTATTGTCATAAAAAAGTAACGGAAAAGCGTCGAGTATGTCGCAGAGAAGCAAAGAAAAGACGTGAATAATATACTTAATTTGCCATCAAACACGTGCAGTTTTACGAGTTATCATTTATTATTAACGTACCGCAAAAGAGTCAAGTAAGGGCTTCGGTTTTAATGCCGTTCATAATACTTCATATCACATCTCGTATGACATACATAAGTAAACGAACCTATAAATAAGAGAAACGAAAAGTTAAACGTAAAATAGCAACTGACGTCAATACGGCAGATCTATTGTGGAATGCACGCTAGGACACCCTGAGGTGTGTTACATATTTTAATGAAGAGTTGCAAAACGGAATAGACATATATTTTCAGAGAGGTCACCGTGGCAGAAATATGATATCGATTTTGTCAAGATTGATTTGCCCAGTTGCGAGGTGCGTGAAAAACCAATCGCATCTTAGCGCATTTAGAAAGCGACAATATCATTTGCGCATCATGAAGCGAAATCATACCGTAAGTGCTTCACGTGTGATCCACGTTTCATTAAAATGTCATACAAGCGACAGTACACGATGCAAACTTTAACGAATATTTAATCTTTCAAATAAGTTAAATTCTACAAGCGCTAATTTTACATTACTCCACAAGATACTCGTTGAAAAGGCTAAATGCTCAAATTCTTGATATCCGATTTGCATTTACTATCGCAATAGACTGTGTACAAAAAAATATGTAAAATAATATATGCGATAGAATCGACCAGATACAATTTACAAGCCACGATTCGCTTTTCCGGCGGACTACGACAGAGTGATGAGTTTCATGAGTGATGCGTTCTTTAAAGACGACCCAACCATGGTGAACATTGGCCTGGAAGAACAGGAGCCCGCGCCGTCATTGCTAAAACTCATGTACAACGAGCTCCGAGAGGGTATGACGATAATTGCAGAGGGAGAGGACAATTGTATTGTAGGCGTCGCGGTGAACGCTGGCTCCTGTCCTTGGGATCCCGACAAGTTCGTCGAGTTCGCTAGGTGTTGCGAATGCGGGCCGACCCGCGACGTGATCGAGTTCGGGGCTTACGTGACCTGCAAGCCGAATCTCTGGGAGCGCTATTGCGTTCTCAAGATCTTCGAGTGCAGCTATCTCGCGGTCAGGTCGGACTTCCGGAACCAGGGTATTGCTAGAAAGCTCGTGCTAGATAGCTGGTATCTCGCGCGCGATTGTGGCTATCGATTGTTCCGTGTTGACTGCAGCAATAGGTAAGTCCAGCTGGCTGACCGTGGAATTCTGGTTAGGCTACAGGCGCGTAAGGAATGCGAGTCGTTTTGGCGCGGTTCGCTCGCCTCGGCGGGATCTTGAGTAATTTTCGCGACGGGTCGCGTCAACGAGAAAGATCGTCGGACTCTATCCGTCGTACATCACGTGTTCAGCGTAACTGTTACCTTGTAATTCAAACTGCCCGAAGAGCTCGAGGACAGCTGACGTACGGCTTCGTGTCGTATTAAAAGAATAACGATCGCGTTAATTAGGATTATCGTAGCGTGCAATGACTTGATGCGTTTCTCAGTGTATGAGCGTGTTATTCGATATGGAACATTACCTGTCGTCTCCTGGGAGTCATACATTACGCGAATAGGATCGCAACGTACAAAATTAAATTGACAGATTCACGCGGATGTTAATCTGAAGCCTGATACCCTATTTAACGTCAGAATATCCGTTGCAGATATATCGCACGGATCGCGGAAGGTTTTGGATGGGAACGAGTATGCACAATACCCTTTCATGAATATGTAAAAGATGGCAAACTCGTCTTTAAGCATATTAAGGAGCCACATACCGAAGTGCAGATTTTCATTGATCAAGTTACATTTTGCAAGGATTACTGTCCGCCTTACGAGAAATGTAAAACAACAACGTCAGCGCCAAAGCTATCTAAAAGCTAATATTGGCAATTACCTACATAAGCTTCAGCCGCTTTAATAAAATATTAATAAATATTTAACAAAAATGTCTCACTGTATACGTTCGTAAACGTAGCGTTTTGTTTCTTGTGCCCTAATCATATTGCGAAGATAATTTTTAAGGAAAATATATGTTAAATATGTTGTACTTAAATATGATTCCTCATTACAATTTCAACTGCTAACGTAAATGTTTATAATCCAGTTAATCATCACGTGTATGTTCTCTGTATTTATGTGATACCGAAATAAATAGAAAATTAATTATAATAAAAAGGTACGTCGTGACAATAAAGCGTAGTGTACCCGCGCCTCCGGTAGTCTGAAACAAAAGTTTTTCTTCACTTTGATGACATACATCGATTTCACAAGTACTAATCCCGACAGTTGAGCTTATTGGAATAGTCTGTCAGAGCCGAGAACAGTGATTGATGAGTTCAACGGCAGCTTATCCCGCGAGGAAACTCCTTTGAGTACGATTGAATAATACATAGCGGCGCGCAAATGAAATTCCCGATATTTGACTTCTAAGCTCTACCTCTCGAACGAAAGCCCGGCGGCTAAACTTCTGCTGCCTGCGAAATTACGATTGCTCGGAGTTGCGAGTGTACCGTACTCGGTTCCCAAATTTAAGCGGAAAGAGACGGATTCTCTTTTGCGTCTGGAACGTCTATCGAGTCTTCCCGAAGGGGCTTCCATAGAATCGCTAATTGTCTGCCAAACAGGACTAGGCCATTCGCCGATCAACTACCGTCATAAAACACTAATGATCCGTGGAACGAGTTCTATCGTGTGTTACGCAAGGTAAAACCAAAGTGTATTTGACATAATTGTCAATTCATTTGTGATACAATTCAGGATCGGCAATGGTTATCCATTATAATCTGTGTTATTACTGAATCTATGTAAATTAAGTAGACCAAAATATTATCCTCAAACTTTGAACAAAAATAAATCAATGAAAAAAATATTTGAATAATGCAATATTCATAAATTTTCTGTTTAACCTACGAAATTTTATAAAACTACTCATAAATTTGCATCAATAATTAGAAAAAAAGTAACCGAAACGCATAATTAGAAAGAATTCATAAAATTATATCACATAAAAACCTGAATCATATTATATAAAAAAATCTCCGTTACTACATGATATTTTTAAAATATCTCACATTTATGTTCGATTTTACAAATACAATTTACATCTTTCAATTGTCAATGTAAACGCATAATACAAACATCGAATTGTTAATCTAAAAGAAATTATTAAGTTTATCATACAACGCCCATTTGTGATAGTTAAACCAAATGGCTCGCAAAAGTATATATTTATTTTTAAAATTATTTTGCTAATTTTCAACTCAAACAGAACGTTTCAAAACAAGCCCTCAAATATATTCGCTATACTGCAAACGATGTATATTGTCATAAATAATACAACATATATGCCTGCAACACAATTTGTTAACAATTCATGAAAATTAGATGCATATATCATCTTCACATAGACAAATTTGTTTTCTATATGTATGATAAAATTACCACGACAATTTATTTCTATTTGAGATTTCATTTTTTAATTATCGTTCGCTGAGCATTAATCGTTGTGCAATCAAGTCTTTCAAGACTGTATTATAAATTGCCTTCAGCATTAAATGCAGATAAAATGGATAAATTGCTGATAAAAAGGGAGGACGCTGGAGGTTATTGTCGTCCCAGACTTCCTGTCAGACCAGTTTCTTACGCAATATTCAAATCTTTAACTCAACGTTAAAGATCTGAAAATCACAATGTTACCGCGTAGAATTTTTATCTCCACTGTATGCTCCTTTAAATGCACGCGTATGTATAAAAACAAGTTCCCTTAATGTATAAAATTTATTTCTACTAAAATAAATACGGTTTATGTATAATACGCAGGAATATATAGAAGCCTCGCAGATTAGTTTGCGAAGTGTCTGTATTCCGTGTCGGAACGTTCACGGTGATTCATACTCGCATCAACACGTGTTGCGATCCTCAGAGGCTAAGAAATGGATAGAACATGACCAAGACGAATTGGAATTCGAGTAGAAACCGGTTGGACCTCTCAAAAATGATCCTGGGCCGATCCCGGGGCCCTAATGATTAATGGAGTTAGAGAGTTACGCGCAGTTTCGTAATACCGTGGCAACTATCCAGTCGACATTACAGTTAAGAAACTGTGCGGGGCGAGTTAGCGGAAAGACCGTCGTCTCGATTGAGAAAGGATTCCGTCGTCTCTGTTTGGTTCCAGAGTCATCCGATCACGTACCAGGCTTCGATTTGACTTTGATTCGACGTACACTAGAAAGGTTTTAATACACGTGCTTGCGTGCCGGGCGTGCGTGCATCGACTATAAAGATAAACATTTTCCATTTGCCAATACGGCGATAAACTCGCACTTGTGTTGTCGTGCCATTATGTATTTGCGCCAAATAGAAATAAAAACAGAACATTTTCCAGTGCTTTTCCCTGTAGATTAACAACCTGCGTTTTCAACGTTGACGACGGTACAAGAGAAACAGTTTCGCCACGTATATACAATTGCAGTTGTCAATGGTCGCCTAGGCCCTCGGACACAGTGTGAGCGAGCTTAATCTGCATAATTTCAATTCCCACGGCGCGGCACACACGTCTGTACACGCGGAACTATGCGTCTGCACATCGTAAACACCACCCCGAGTGATTCCTCTAATATCGGCAATTGTTTACCGAATTGAAATAGTTCGACATGAGACTTCCGGCCTTACTTCTTCCGCGATTGTAACCGTTCGCGTCGGCGTTAGTCTCTATCAAGGATTCCGTAGCTGCAATGCCTCCACGTCTCGGTACTCCCTACTAACGGAGCTCTCAGACGGGATTCAATCATGTTAACCAGCGTTTATTTCTAATCGAATTCGTGGAAACGTACACTGTTCACGACGATGGCTTTCAATATATCCCGCCGATCCGCGCGATCTCTCGCATTAAGTTCTTTACTAAATCATACATAAGATGTCTGCGATTAGTTTGTCTACAGTCGTTAATTAAATTAATATATGTGTATAGCTGCAGATGTATAATTTCAGGAGCACTATTAATAGCGCAAACGCGATTACATTATTTGTACTTCATAAACGACATAAACGAACTAAATGTTGAGGTGAGTCGAGTCCCAACCTTGATCTTTTAAATGCTTAAAAATAATACTGCACTATGCGAAACAGAGCAAAACAGCATAATATTTTGTCACATCTCACAATATATTTTTAATTTCAATATTATAGGTACTATCAAACTTTGCTAAATATCGCGGATAAATGACTTGACAAATAAATTCCAGCGATCCACGAAAGAATCAGTCTTTCCTTTCATGCGTACGTGGAATATACATGTACGATGCACCACGTTCGCCACGTCTGTTTCCAGATGCAACAGACAATATTAATCGGTAAAAGAATTGGATTTCGCTGTCTCGCAGTTCGCTACCCTTCTTCTATTTCATTTACCTTTTTTTTTCTCGTTGTGATATATTGAAGTCTAGATGTGAAAAATGCAAGCGTCCTGGATTCAAAGACGGAACTTATTGGATTGAATGGATCGAAATTGAAATTTGTTAAAACAAATGTAATTCCAGTAAGTTCAGTTTCAGGATTAAATATATAATTAAATATACAGTCAGTGTAAGAGTAATTGTGTTTGTGTTTCTCTACTTATCACAGAGAAGTTGTATTGATTTTAAAAAATGACTGCGTCAATTGTGAACATTTGCCGGTATCATGTGTTTGTTATTGATTCAGTTGGTCATGTTTTAGTGATACTTAATTAAAAAATAAACAAAAAGTTATTACGTAATAAACGCGTTTTAATAAATCACGAATTATCGTTAATTAATGTATAATGTTCTTCTCGCCCCTCGTGTTAGTCTTTCTCGTAAGTAAAAATGATCTCGTATTATAATAGTATTAAAGAAGCCGATATGAAACGACAGCGAGTCGTCCGAATCATGGATGAACATCAATGACCTGAATATACTTTTGATGACTATATAATTTAACACAATTTAAAAATGAGTTTAAAAAATTAAATTGTTTAAAAACTAATAAAATAGCTCAAATGTGATAAACACACATTTGAAGGAATAAAGGACTAACAATAAGAGCCGTGACAGGGTGTTAGTGTCTAAATATTTCATATTCTAAATTTATTGCGAAAAATATTACCTCAGCCAGGGTTTGAACCTGGACCTCCCTCTTGCTAGGCGGGCGTCTCAACCAATTCGACCACCGAGGCATATGGAAATATTCATCGCAACAAACAGTCTAACGTTGTTTCCCGAATGCCACCTATCGTGACAGTATTCGAAAACGAGAACTCAATTTTTTTAATTGAAAGCCCACTGCTCACATAACATTAAAATATATCAAGTATATACAATGCATGTGCATTTATGTATATTGTATATTCATTGTATATACATTCTGATGTAATATACATGCAAAGAACACGAAATGTATGTGCAAATGTTACCGGCAGAATATACATGAGAAGATCGATGGTACACACGTATGTACATGACCAGCACATACAATGAAAACACTGTATACATACATATACACTATGCATGTACTAATCATGTACACACGCACACACCATGGATACGTTATGTGGGTATGTAATTGCCTAATGGCGTAATACAATCAGCATAAAAAAAACTATGCTAGCATAAGTATTCCTCAGAAAAACTTCAAGAATGTTTCAAGGTATACGAGGTAGTTCTCCTTGAAATGATTTTTTAGAGTTGAGTTCTACGGCTTCAATACTATTTCTTTTCAAAATTCGATATATAGATACGTTCCAAGCGACTATTAATACCCATGCCGCCAATACTTGCGCAACAACATTGTAAATTATTAGGAGGGATTAGAAGGGACACATTCCCTTCATTACAATTCCACTTTGATAGAATCTACATAATGCCATCGGAGCGTTTTATAAAGTTCAGTTTAAGCACACCTCTTCAGTCGGAACCGTGCTACACTGTCGTTACTAAATAGCAATCCTACAGCAGAGGATAATTAAAACAACTTATATACTTTAATAACGTACGTACACACAATCTCGTTTACTCAAGTAATTTATGGAATGAACTGTAAATAATTATATTATAATAGTGTTTTTTGATACAAAGAAAATGTACCTTGCGTGCCCACGTGTATACGCGAGACATATAAAATATATTAATTATTGCAATGTCGATACTGATATTAATTTTTATGTTTGATCTTTCCATATAAAAATTAATTTTACATATCCATAAATAAAAAAGGCATGGAAAGTCTATTGTTGTCGCTTTTCCGCGATGCTGATTGGTTCTCTCGTTTGGCTGACTTGGTGCTGCAAGACAGCGGCGAGACGATTGATTTTGACAGCTTGACAAGTATTACGGGTTTTTATTGGGAACAATTTTTGGTACACAACCTCTTTAATTGTTCCCAATAAAAACCCGTAATACTTAAGAATAAATGACGCGTACGCTCGTGGTATCAATAAAATAAGACTTCTTGCCTTTTTTGATTTTTCCAAGAGTACATAATTTTTTTTTTGGAAATTAGTGCTTTGCAAACATGTGAAGAGTTGCTTATAAAACATATTTGAATATTTCCTAGATGCATTTTAGTAGGTGCTTTACCTTTGCACAAATTTCTCTTTGCAGAATTTATGTATTTGATCAGTTACCTACAAAACTAATCAAGTCAAATTGTTTTCGATTGTAATTCTAATTAATTTTTT